GTGTTATGCCTACAAAACCCCAAGCTAATATGATTTGTCTACTTGTAAGCAATATTCAAAGTACATCACAAGACAATGCCTCACATTTGTTGTGAACTGAGTAGTGAATGTCATAGGTCTACTAGGAGCAATATATATATAAACATACTGTATATATATACTGTAATCAAATAAAGCATGAAACAATCATATGTGTGTTAGCAAAGAACTCTACTGATGGAAAACTTCACTTATTATTACCATATTTGAATCAGACAGCTTTTTAAATGAACGAACGTTAACAAATTGTCTGTTAACAGACAATGCGTTATGTTTTATATCTCATATCAGCATTCTTCACACAAACGTGACCTATATTTAATTTGAGGTTAAAGTTTATTCCAATTGAGCTTATTTCTAACTAGAAATAATAAAAGTTTATGGTCTTACCTTTACTTGTACAAATCTGTAGGTTTTCATCTCCCTGAAATTCTCTAGAAGGAAGTGTCTTGCATTTTATCCATCATGTAAAATGTTATGTTTAAAGTAAAATGTTTAAAATGGGTTTCACTGACATAGACATCTGCTCACAATGCACTCTAGGTTGCACCAACAATTATTTACGTGCTACTTGGACCTGCCAACCAGTTTGTTCCCTCTGGATAGAAGTGACAGAGAAAGTAAAGATTTGATTAATCAGCGATAATCAATGTTTAATCAAGCGTTAAAGCTATTTTGTATTCAAAATAATATATTGCTCCTTGTATTAAATTCACTGCATTGACAGTTTTTGTGTAACAGTGTATAATTCTTGTGGTTTAGTTAGATGTTGTGATGGGATTTTTATCAGACATTAGAATGATTTGTTTTTGAGAAAAGATAAGTAGATAATAACAAATAACAGTGGGTGGAGGTCAGTCATGGGTAGTGTACCAAATCTTTATGGTAAAAGATGCACAGTTATGAATAACAAGAGTTTGCATGCCCACAATGCCTAAAGCCGAGGCATCTGATTGGATGAGAGGATGAAGCCCATGTGACAAACAGTTCCAATCGCCAAGTGTCTGACCAGGGAAATGGATGAAGCCTACATCACAAGAAGAATATAAAACCCACAGCAAAAAGAGGAACCCGGGAGACTTTCAGCAGTTGCTGCTGGAAACTATCTAAAACCCTCAAGCAGCATTTGAAGCTTTAAAAGGTTTCAAATATGCCACCTTAGAGTGAGAGGTTAAACTATGTTCCTATGTCCAGGGTTTAGCAGATTGTGGCCTTCGAACACCATTCAAATGAATGAAAGGCTTACTACACTGTCTTTGTGTCATCATAGGAGGACGGGCACACACGTACAGTAGGAGAATCTAATCATTGGTTTCATGCTATTACACTGTAACAAATGAAGCATAGCAATGTGTTGACAGAAGCCGTGAGGACTGCTTCTGGTAATACACATTAATGTATACACTCTTTTATGACTTTCTGCTCACTATGAATAAAAATATTAAATTAAGCATTGAATATTCTAGGAATAATATTAATTTCTTAGCTTCTGCTACATCTGCGCCGCATTTGTGATACAGATCAGGAGTCTGAAAGGCAGGCCACAGTAATGACAGATTATTTTGTACAGAGAGGGTATCAAACTACACAATCTACACTGCACTTCTACAATCACTGTGCTAATATAAAAGAACACCAACAATTTTGTGATTGTAGGACCCATAAGATACAGTATATCATATAAAGTCCTTCATTTACTATAAAACTACATTTGTCATATATCTTGCATCTATAGAGGCTTAAAAAGTTTCTGAAGATAAAAATGCAATTAGGAACCTAGATTCTCCCATGGCTAGACATTTTAAAGATGCACATAATAATAATCCTGACCATTATGTTTGATGGTCTAGAAACTATATATAAGAGCATTCAGGGTGTGAACATTTGAAGTTGTTGCTTCAGAGAAACTTACATCTTATCCAGATCTGAATGATGATATTTACTTTAGTCCTTTTCTGTAAATGAATGTGTATAGTTTTTAATCCTCATTATGAGAGAATCATTGGAATAAAGGCTTTTTTACAATTTTTTGTCAGGGTTGCTCTCAGCTCCCTGTTTCTCTCCCAGTTTCTCTCTCCCTCTCTCTCCTCATCTCTGCAGATGCTGGCATAGGGAAGTAACTCACCTGTGGCAGATCTCTCTGATGAGTAGCTGGTCTACTTAACCTCCACTCAAACACCCAGTCACCGCTGGTTCGTTGTTGAACACAGACCACGACATTTGGCTCCAGTCTGATATACAACCCTTTCCTGTAACGCACAAGTAAGACTGTAACTTTTTCGCTGCACTCTTCTGCTGAGTGCTTACCTGCTGTATGGATTACGTACCTCCGACAACATTTGCTGTAGTGCACTTCACACTTGCTCCTGTCTTGCTGTCTACCTCGATCCACGCAGCTGCTTCTTCCCTCGCCGGCACCATTCCATCTGGGCCAGCTTCTCTGCAGCAACCTTTTCAACTGACCTCAGCTCGCCACTCAACTCAACACTCACCCTCCAGCAGCTTCTCTCTTCGGCACATCACGCCTGGGCCAGTCTCCCTACATCACCGCTTCAGCACTTCACACCCAAGCCAGTGCTCCTTATTTGTCCCCAGCCTCCAGGGGAACCACCGCCAGCCGTGTTTCCATTATCCTCATCTGTACCTAAGTTGTCACAATAAAGTATTTATTCATTTTTATCTAAACTGCAGTCTGGGTCCTTCTTGCTTCTCTCTCTCGCCCCTGGTTCAAGAGAAATCCTCACAATTTTAGAAGAATGACTTTGCCCCTTTTCATTGGCTTATTTTTGGTCCTTTTTGCAAAAGAGTACCTTGTTGTGAACTTCCTGAACTCTGACATCCTCCTCTCTTTAATAATGTATACAGCTCAGGATTTTAAATATTTGCCAAAATCAGCTTTGCATATGTTTTTATGATGAAGGGAATGCATTCACCTCGTTTGTTAGGCCTCACAGATGCTACTGACCTGCATCTCAACATATGTGTGAGGGAGGTTGTACTCTAGAATGAATGAATGAATGACACTTTATTACAGACTCAAGGTCCAGGTTCAAAGCAAATAAAAGCAATAAAAGAACAGTTTAAAAAAGGAACAATAAAAACAGAAAATACATAAAAACGAGAACAAAAGAACACCCATAAAACTACTGCCCCTTTAAAAGACAGGTATATATGAGTGTTTCCAGAGAACCGAAGTAAAACGCATGTCACTGTGTGCAACATTAGTCAACAATAAAATATGATTTTTTGAACCATTCAAGCGACAAATAAATTTAAACATCAGGTTTCTTAAAACAGCAGAAAATGTACTAATTCGAGATGACACGAACAATTCGCTAGCACTCGTCCTTCTAGGCTTTTCAGTAATATCCTTAGGGCGTCATTGTAAGCTACTGACAGTTTCCGAAGACTGACCTTTTTATAATTACACCACAGATGAGCAGTGTACAAGGAAGTACAATAAGCTTTAAACAAAGCCAGTTTTACTCCCACCGAGCATGCACCAAATTTCTGTGCCAGTACATTAGCTTGTACATACAACATGCGGCACTGCCGATATATATCCCCGTCATCAGACAAACAATCATTAATGACATGACCCAAATACTTAACTTCACTGCACACAGTTAAAATATTATCAGATAACTTAAAAGAAGGAAATACAAGGGACCTGTCCTCATTTGTACAGCATATCATAATGACACTTTTGA